ATCCCTGGAAGTGTTCAAGGCCAGGCTGGATGAGGCTTTGAGCAACCTGGTCTAGTGGAAGGTGTCCCTGCCCATGACAGGGGGTTGGAACTGGATGGTCTTTAAGGTCCCTTCAACCTGAACCATTCTGTGACTCTGACATACAACAGGCACCATTGGTACAATAAATTACACTCATCCAGGTTTTCTAGTGTTGGACAACCTTTTAATTATTTTACCTGACATTGTCCCTTTAAAAATGGGGTTTGCAGTGTATTTTAAACCAGACAACACTATGTCCACATTCCATCCAAGGAAACTGGCCATCTGGGGGTTTCCTGGTTTTTTAAAAAAGCAGACCAAGCTGTGTCCCCTATTTGGAATTCATGGGTTTACTTTGTTAGGCCAGGCCTTAAAGATCTTGTTTGTATGAAAGAGAGTTACTTCCTCTCCTGGATTAAGGGCTGGGAAGACTGAGGTAGGGATGTTGCGTGATGCAGTGAGATGGCAGCATATGTCTGTTGTTGCTTTGTCACTAAATTCTTGAACAATTACTTCCTCTGCCTGCAGAACAGTTTCATATACTTGAGGGCCAGTTTTTGTTGCAGAGAGTGAAGTGCCATACGCACTGACTGCGTATAAAAATAGTGTGGATCCTTGAAGCAATGCCAAGCTGCTTCCCAGCTGCCAGCCTGGCCAGCCGGTAACGGACTGGCAACATGTTGGTCTTAGCAAAAACACCCCCCACACACCCCCCTCTGCCCTGCCCTCACACACTGCCCTAGGAACGTGCTGGGGGCTGCCAGCTCCACCCTACTGTAAAAGTTAGAGCCTCTTTGTAACTCCATGTCAAGAAGTTACAAACCTTGGATCTGCTGCAGGGCCCTGACAGAAACGGGTGCCCAAGAGAAGAAGAGAAATTCGAGTTTCAAAGCCATGTATCACTCATTTATCGAGAAGAAACTGTTTCAGGTCCCGGCCCTCCAACCATTAGAACTGACTGTGCTAGAAACCTGTCTTTCTGCTCTCCAGAAGATTTCTCCTATTACTTCCCTGCTTGAGCCCTGGGTGTTTTTTCTGCTACGGCAAGGAGGTGGCAGGCTTTGACCAGCTCCGATTTCCTAAGAAAAACTTACTTCTTTGTATGCACTGCAAAAGTAGAATATAACTTTGTTGTACAACTGTCCAGTTTGCCAAGTCCTGCACGCTGAGCTTGTCATCAGGGAAGAAGGGGTGACAAACTGCCTCTGAAGCGATGCAGCCAGCCACGGCTCGGCTGATGGTGGCTGTTGGGGTGACAAGCAGGAGAAAATTCATTTGGCTCCGAGAGTCAGTGTTTCCTCGCTTTACAGAGGGAGGAGTGGGAAAGCTTGAAGTGGCTCTCAGCCACCTGTCTCGCTAAACCTCTTGGCAGTAGCGCATTGGCTCCTGCAGCAGTGTATTGCCACACGCAGGCGAGAGGAACGCGCACTTCTTAAAGCGGAGTGAGAAGAGACTACGGCAAACATCCACCCCGAGGACAAAGCTACAAGTAGCCTTCTGCCTAAACTTCCATGTCCTCGTAACAGCAGACAGCAAGTTTGTTCCAGTGGATGAGAGAAAAGACAACCGAGTCTTTTCCCCCTTTTCCACTGTGGCATCCAGCCAAAGCAACCTGAAGCTTTACTTTCTTCCTACTCGGCATCGTCATCCACAGTATCAGCGGGTTTCTGTTGGCCTGGTCACGGAGGGCAGGTAACCTCCATCAGAAATCTACAGCGGAGGAGAGGATTTGGCATGCAAGGGGCTGGTTTTGCCATGGTCTTAGTGCTGCCCAGAGCTGGTGGATTAACGGACGTTACACGGCGTCAGCAGCACGCGCGGGAAGGGGAAGCAAGGTTCCTCGAGGGTACTGATAATGCTGTGAATTTCTCCTGCATGGAGAATCCATTTAATTCTTCAACTGTATCAGTAGCACCGTATTTTTGTATGTCAAAGTGTATGACTTACTGACATTAACTCACTTAATTGCAAACATTTTGAAATAAAGAGTCTTATCAGTGTGGCTTATCTTTCTGAAATGTCAGGCTAACCTGAGCTAGGTGTTGCGAGTGCAGCACGGGGTCTGTTCAGCCTGTCTCGTTTTTAATCAGCTGTAGTAACAAAGTACAGCAAGCAGCAGCAGTTAATTAGTTTATAAACTAAAAATGCCATGTACAGACTGAAAGCATACACCATTCCATCCTCCCCGACTGTGAAAGGGGCAGAAGGTCCTACCTGTGAGCTGGAAGACGGGTTCAGCTGCGTTAGAGCTGCAGCGCAGTCTGGATGGCACGCAGGCGGGCAACCAGGTTCTGCACGTGATGTCTGTCTCGCGGCTGAGCTCTGGTGAGAGTGTGGATCCTCACCTGCAGCTGGAAGGGAAGGGCCCTGAGCAAGGCAGGCAGCTCTGAGCCCTTGTGCCGGAGGAGGAGCAAGTGAGCGAGCTCCAGCTGCCTCTGCGCTGTCCCACTTAACCACGGCATGACCGGACGGGGGGACGCAGACGGCTTTAGAGGTGCCGGCACAGTACCCGCAGGGCTGTGAGACCTGGGGACAGCAGTGCAGGTGCAGTCACCGTCGGGTGGCCACCCTGTCCTGAGAAACCCCAGAAAAAGCTGAGACGGATCCGCTAAAGCCTGCTGTGCAGCCTGGAAACAGCCTTGGGAGGGTCTGGATTTACACACCCGAGCAAGGAGGAAGCTGCCCCTCTGCCTGCCCAGCAGGCACGTTGCCCTTCCCTCAGCTCAGTAACAGCTACGAGACTGTCCTCCACAGCTGCCACCACCTCTAGGCCAAGCACAGCCGTACCTTAATTAACAGCAATTAGTTTGCTGTGTACACACCTGGTCCAGTTCCTCCCGAACTCCCCGTGCAGCACCTCCGTCCTCCAGCTTCGTGCTCTCCAGCCACTTCCGTAGAATCCCTGCCTGCTGCTGACAGGACCTGGTAAGATGGATTAGAAGGATTCTTATCCCAGCTCACAGCTCAGCAGTCCCAGCCAACTTAGACTTGCAACTGATACTTGCAGTAAGACCCCATTTTTTCTGTCTCAAACCAATGAATGACAAAAGTCTTTTGGAAAAGAAAGTATGCAGGAAAGCAGAAACGTTTGTCTAGAAGCTGTTGTCTCCGCGGTCTGCTGCTGGTTCCTGACCTCCTTTCCTGACAGCCGAACCCCCTCCAAGCCCCATTTTCCTTGTCTCGTTCTGGAAGAGCAGCTGTCAAACCCCGGCCACACAGCTGAGAGTCGGCAACGCAAAGTTGTCGCTCCTCGTGATAAAAGAGCCGAAAGCGTCATTTCAGCTGCGCTGCCAAGTGCATTTGCACGGCCCTTGGCTCGCAGCCCACGATCCCCTTGTCACGCTTTCTCCAACAGCTGCCAACGGAAGAATTAAACCACTTGCTGGTAGGATCTTGCCCACGTACGCTCTCCCGCCCCACATGAATCTTAAAAGGAGAGAACAGGAGCTTTCCTCTGCTCCAGCCGCGGTTCTGCTGTGAACAGAGGGGTATGAAGAATCA